GTTTGTTCGAATGAAACTACCGAACAGTCAGACCTCCCATGTGTGAAGTGTGTTCTCAATTACCCGTTGCAACATTGTTGCGAACGGGTAATTGGCAAGTGAAGTAGCCGTCCTTTGTTCTCGGGGGTGGCCGCCATTCGAAAAACGAACACGTGGCGGCGGCCATTTTAAAACTCCCGAACAGCGGTGTTTTGCCGTTGAGTGTCTGGAACTCAAATCGGACACTCGACTAGGCGAACACCGCTGAAACCTCCACAAGCCCGGTCCGTTCGGTTCCTAACTACCGAACGGCCCCTCGTTCAGTAGATAGAAAGAACCGAACGAGGGGATTCAGGCGAACCCTCCCTAGCCTCTATAGCTAGAGGTTTTCGTGCAGTTTGTTCCCTTACTCCAGGACCGACCGCAGGGCCCATTCGCATGGAACCGCATTCGGCTGTCTCAGTCAGTGCGGTCGGTCATTTTATTTGCTCCATAGATTTCCCGAACCCCTCGTCTGATCTGGGTGATTTTTGGATATGTTGTTCACCCAGAACAGGGCTATCAGGGGGTGTAGGATTTAAAGGGGTACCCCTACGTTTAGGGGTACATACAGAAACGGGGGGAATTACTGTACTGGATAAGGGGATTATGTTGCTGGCTGAGGGGAGGAGATGTGTGGGAGGTTACCAGGACGGGATTGGCTACTGTACTAATTATTGTAAATCCCTCCCTTGCATGGGAGCATGCTTTAAAAGGACAGTGTGGATTAAAAGATTTCAGTTCTGCTCCTGAAACTGTGTGTCATCCAGTTATTGGGATTGCTGTGGGGATATTGCTGTATTTTACCTGCTGGAAACCTTGCCTGTGGATTTATTATTTACTTGTTCCTGAGCCTCACTTGGATTATAAGTGGAGATAACCTGGGGAACATTGCATCTCCGCTACATACATGTTTGTTTTGCTAGTGTTAGTTATTGCACTCTATGCCTCATTCATTTATGATGTTCCCTATTTATGACTTTTACCTATCTTATCTCTGTCATTCCCTCATATCCTTAAATTTATATTCCCTTTCATCTGTTTTTTCCTTGATTTTTGTTTTTAACACCCCAATGATTCTCCACCCACAATCTGCTTTATCTAACCCCAGATTCTCTCCTTTATAGCCTGGGCCCCATACAATATTGAATCAGCTACACCCAGGACTCCCAGCACACAACCCTGCAGGACTTGCCATAAGCAGAGGTAGCATTTACTGGATGATCGCTTCCCACCCACCCTACCCCATGGTAATCACTACATTTATAGATCGCTCAAATTACCTACCTTTCCCGTTAAGCCAATTATGTTAGCCTCTGTCCACCAAGCCCTCCACACCCAAAATAGCTATACTCACACAATACCTCTTTAACCCTTAACCCTCCTAACCACAGCTCTTAAAAATACAGCACTAACTCTCCTACTAATGTTCTCACTTCTATTTTTCATTTTCTCTCTCACTTCCCTCATCATTCAAATCTCTCTATCATTTTACTTACCTGTTCCTGCTAACACCATCTTCATTGCTCCATCTCTGCTCCCCTCATCTCTGTATTCATCACACGCACTTTATTCATATTTATCCAGCCTTTCTCAACACACCCCTCCTAAATACCCTAAATACAAACTCTCATCCCCAACATTTAAATCTTACTCCCACCTTCTCTTCCTTTCCATCCTACTACTCCTAGCAGCAGGTGATGTCTCTCCAAACCCTGGTCCCTCCACTACAAACACCAGAAACCACAACAACCTAATACCCATTCCATGTGATTCTCACTATAATTCCTCTTTTAAAGCTGCCCTCTGGAATGCACGCTTTGTGTGCAGCACCTTTAAATCTACTTCCATCCATGACCTATTTATCTCACACTCCCTAAACCTACTTGCACTAACAGAAACATGGCTCTCTCCCTCAGATACTGCTACACCTGCCTCACTGTCCTTTGGTGGTCTTCACTTTACCCACAATCCAAGACAAGCGGAGATTAAAGGTGGCGGTGTAGGTTTTCTTCTCTCACCACACTGCTCCTTTAAAACCATGTCCACCCCCCCTTCCCTCTCTTTCCCGTCATTTGAAATTCATTCAATTCGCCTTTTCAAACCGTTCTCTGCTAACATTGCCGTAATCTATCGTCCCCCTGGTTCCCCTCTCCTCTTCCTTGACCACTTTGCTGCCTGGCTACCCTACTTCCTCTCTTCCAACATCCCATCCATAATTCTTGACTTCAATATTCCCATTAACCCACCTTTAACCCCAGCAGCCTCTAAACTACTTTCAATCACTTCCTCCCTTGGACTTTTGCAGTGGGCTAATTCTCCCACTCATGTAACTCGCCATACCCTCGACCTTATTTTCTCTTATTCATCTAAGTTTGTTCCCTTACTCCAGGACCGACCGCAGGGCCCATTCGCATGGAACCGCTTCGCATGGAACGCTCCATTTCCTCTCTCTGATCACCACCTCTTATCATTTGCTCTCAATTAGCCCCTCACCCAACAATCTCAGCCTAACCCTCCTCAGCTCAGGAGGTACCTTAACTCTATTAACCTCCAGCAGCTGTCAGCTGACATTGATTCACAACTGCTATCCATCCCTTCCCTCTCCTGTCCCTCACTGGCCATCTCCACATATAACACTACCCTCACATCTGCCTTGAACGCTGCAGCCCCGCTCCAAACATGCACCTCGAGGAGGACACGACCCCAACCTTGGCATAATAAATCAACACGCTATCTGCAGAGTTGCTCCCGTTGTGCTGAACGCTCCTGGAGGAAGTCCCGCACCCAGGCAGACTTTCTCCATTATAGATTCATGTTGCTTTCATACAGCGCAGCCCTCGCCCTCGCCAAACAGTCATACTTTTCCTCTCTCATTAGTTCATGCTCCCGCAATCCCAGACGTCTCTTTGACACCTTTAATTCCCTTCTCCGCCCTGCTGTGGCCACCCCCCAAACTAACCTTACAGCTGATAGCTTTGCATGCTACTTTACCGACAAGATTGAACAGCTAAGGAAACAATTCTCCCCTCCTTGCCGTTCTCTTTCTCAACCACATGTAAATCTTGCTTTCCCTACCCTCCAGACTTTCTACCCGGCTACTGAACAAGAGGTGGCTGCGCTTCTCCATTCCTCTCGCCCCACCACTTGCCCGCTCGATCCTGTCCCATCTCACCTCATCAGATCTCTCTCCCCTTGTCTTGTGCCTACCCTAACACACATCTTTAACTGCTCTCTCTCTTCTGGCACTGTTCCTGCTGACCTTAAACATGCCACTGTAATACCAATCCTGAAAAAAACATCTCTTGACCCATCCTCCCCTTCTAACTATCGTCCCATATCCCTGCTCCCTTTCTCATCAAAGCTTTTGGAAAGACTTGTCTTTACCCGTGTGTCCCGCTTCCTTAATTCCAACTCTCTCCTTGACCCTCTTCAGTCTGGCTTCCGCCCTCTCCACTCTACTGAGACTGCTCTTATCAAAGTGACTAATGACCTAATCTCCGCTAAATCCAAAGGTCACTACTCCATATTAATTCTCCTTGACCTCTCTGCTGCCTTTGACACCGTTGATCATGCTCTCCTCCTTCAAACTCTTCAATTGCTCGGTCTCTGTGACTCTGTCCTCTCTTGGTTTTCCTCCTATCTCTCCCAACGCTCATTCAGTGTCTCCTTTTCCAAGAACACCTCCTCCCCTCGTCCTGTCTCGGTTGGAGTTCCCCAAGGGTCTGTCCTTGGTCCCCTTCTATTTTCTCTTTATACTGCCTCTCTTGGTAAACTTATTGCCTCTTTTGGATTCCACTACCACCTGTACGCTGATGACACTCAGATATACCTCTCCTCCCCGGACCTCTCCCCTGCCGTCCTGCAACGTGTCACTGCTTGCCTTTCTTCCATCTCTGACTGGATGTCCTCACGCTTTCTGAAACTTAACCTCTCTAAAACTGAACTCCTTGTCTTTCCTCCTCCTAATACTGATCCTCCTCTCTCGCTCTCCCTTCAAGTCAGTGATATCCACATAAGTCCATCCCTGCAAGCACGCTGTCTTGGCGTCATACTTGACTCTGGTCTCACCTTTGAGTCTCACATCCAGTTTGTTGCCAAGTCCTGTAGGTTCCAACTCAAAAACATAGCCCGCATTCACCCCTTTCTTACGCAAGATGCTACCAAGGACCTTGTCCATGCTCTAGTAGTTTCCCGCATGGATTATTGTAACCCTCTCCTGATTGGTCTTCCCCAAAGCCGTATTGCCCCACTACAGTCTGTAATTAATGCTGCAGCCAGACTGATTTTCCTCTCCAGTCGGTCCTCTCACACCTCACCCCTCTGCCAGTCCTTACATTGGCTCCCTGTATGCTATAGGAGTCAATTCAAAGTGCTAACCCATACATTTAAAGCACTGAACAATTCTAGCCCCGCTTATATCTCTTCACTAATCCATAGATATGCCCCTCCTTGTACCCTCCGCTCTGCCCTTGACCACCTCCTGACCGCTGCTCGCACCCGTACGGCCAACTCGCGCTTGCAGGACCTCTCGCGGGCGGCTCCTCTCCTATGGAATAGCTTGCCTACTGCCATCAGACTCTCCCCTAGTCTTCAATCATTTAAGAAGGGCCTTAAAACCCATCTCTTCAGGAAAGCTTATGGCCTCCCAGAGTAATCTCTACCTTACATACCTGTCTCCTGCTCTCTCCTATGGGACAGTGCTTTACTCTCTCCTCTAGCTCTGCTTCACTCCTACTTGATATTCCATGCCCTAATGTTTCTAATACCCTACCTCCTATAGTCTGTAAGCTCGTTTGAGCAGGGTCCTCTTCAACTTATTGTTCCTGTAAGTTTTCTTGTAATTGTCCTATTTATTGTTACATACCCCCTCTCAAAATATTGTAAAGCGCTACGGAATCTGTTGGCGCTATATAAATGGCAATAATAATAATAATAATAATAACCCTCAAAGTGAAGTGTTGTCTCATTATTGGGGGAGGATTTATTGTATGCTGTTCCAGTTTGACTGCTAGGAGTGTAAACCTATTCGCATGGTTTTTCCTATTCGGCTGTATACAACATTCAATGCTTGAGAGCATTCATATGCTTCTCCGGTTCGGTGGTTGTGGTGTCTGCTGCAGTGCTTGGAGTCCTCAGGAAGCGCTAGGAGCATCCTTCAACGGAGGTACCCAGTCAGGGTGCCAGGTGATCCGTTACACACTCAGATCTCACGAATACAATTAGATCGCCATGGGGTTAAACAATATCAAGGGCTGATGGGAGATTGAGGCGGGACAAGGCAGCCAGTTTAAACTGGTCTGGCAGTGTCCCTGGGACAACGCCCTGCTGGAGAAACAATAGGACAGGAAAAAGGGGGAGGGAAAGAGGCACATTTTCCCATGGAAGTCACTTTTTAACATGTTTTTTTTGCCGGGCCCATAGTCTTTGTGCAAAACGCTGGCCATTAGTCCTTTCCAAAAACCAGTGGCGAAATTGCTTTCGTCACAACGTTAGCATTCTAAATAGTGATTTTTAAATATCTTTATTTCATAAGTACATGATTTAACTATATTTATTGTATTTGGACATTATGCTGAAATGCAGACATTATTTAATATAAATAAAGAATGGTCAAAATACTAGCTGAGGTCAGGGACACAGAAAGAGACACAACAAGGAAACAAGCAAAAAGTCAAGGATACCAGAAATACGGGGAAGTCAAAATACAAGCCAATGTCAAATACCAAAAAGAACTGAAATAGGAACGCACTCTCTGTTAACAAACTAGTGGAAACCACGACCGGCACTGACCAAATGCTATTTTGAGTTTAAATAACCCTCCTAAGGCTATGATTTGTTGTACGTAGCTTTTGACCCCAAAATGTGTCTGCGTGTCGTTTGCATGACATCACACGCATGTCGGGCACCATTTTTGCAAGGCTACCTAGTTGCTTGGGACCATGGCGAGCATTCATTAGAACGCTACACCGGTCGGGGATCGCTCCACGAGGGTGCTGAATGGCAAGCTGATTTGCTTTAGGTAAGTTTTTATTATTTCTAACAGCTTGATCGCATCGATCGGATGCGGCCACACTGTATGGAGGTGTGGGAGATGTTACATTACCCCCTACCTGAAGACCACCCACTGAAAAGGCAGGACCAGGCTTGAGGAAACCGGGCGTGGAAAGAATGGATAAGGCGACCAGCATGCACTTCAGTAGCAGGAACCCAGGAACGGTCAGCAGGTCTATAACCCTTCCAGTCAACAAAATACTGTAAAGAACCCCAGAAAACCTGGAATCAATGATAGAGCAAATCTCATATTCCTCATGTCCAGCAACAAACATAGGAGAAGGAGGAATAGAGAGCGTGGTATATCTATTACAGATAAGAGGTTTAAGCAAAGATACATAAAAGGAATTAGGTATACATAGCGTGGCAGGAAGAGCAAGAGAATAAGAAACAGGATTAATCTTCTGAATAACACGAAATGGTCCAATAAACTGGGGAGCAAACTTCCTGGTAGGAACCAAAAGCTTGATATGATGTGTGGAAAGCCATAACCTGTCACCTACTTGGTTAACAGGGTTGGCACCACGCCACTTATGAGTCTGAAATTTGAAATAAGCAGCCGCTGTCTCCAACTCTGTATGGACCTTAGTCCAAGTATCCCTTCTATAAGTGAGATGATCATCCAATGCAGGAATAGCAGTACCAAAGAATACAGCAGGGAGGATAGTGGGATGGCGACCATTGTTGACAAAGAACAGAGTAAGACCAGAGGAATCATGGGTAGCAAATTCAGCCCATGGCAGAAGATCTGACCAGTTCTCCTGTGTGCTATTTATAAAGCACCGTAAATACTGTTCCAAAGATTGGTTAGCCCTCTCAGCTGCACCATTGGTTTGAGGATGATAAGAAGATGAAAATGATAATCAATACCCAACTGTTTTTTGAATGCTCCCCAAAACCATGACACAAACTGAGAGCCCCTGTCAGAAACTATATTCTCCGCAATACCACGCAACCTGAATATTTTGCATATTAATTACTTCTTGGGAGGAAAGTAACTTCTTGAGAGGAACAAAATGTGCCATTTTCTAAAAACGATCAACAACCATTAAAACGGTTTTATAGCACTTTTTTAAAGCTAGGATAATAGCTAACAATTCTCTGTTACCTATATCATAATTACGCTCTGCCGGCGACAATTTTTTGGAGAAAAACCCACAAGGATGCAAAGGAGCATCCTGATTCTCCCTCTGGGAAAGGACAGTCCTACCGTGTTTCAGAGGCATCGACCTCTAATATAAAGGGTTTTCTAGTGTCCGGGTGTACTAGTATAAGAGCGTACGCGAAAAGAATGAATGATTTTAGATGCTCAAAAGCTTCTTTAGCTTCTTTGGACCATATATGAAAATTAACCCCATCACGTGGCAGGTTGGTAATTGGATCTATTACTGTAGAGAATCTCTTTATGAATCTCTGGTAGTAGTTAGCAAACCCAATAAACCTTTGAATCACTTTCAACCCATTAGGTAATGGTCAAAGCAGAATGGCTTCTAGTTTGTGTGGCTTCTAGTTTGTGTGGCTTCTAGTTTATGTGGAGGCTGAAATTATGTAGCGTAAGAGCTACACCTCTGTCTGGTCAAACAGGCACCTCTGTCTGGTCAAACAGGCATTTCTCAAGTTTGCAATACAACCCATTTCTGAGTAATGTTTGCAACACTTGCTTCACATGCCCATGATGAGTCTGGAGATCGGGAGAATAAAGGAGTATATCATCGAGATAAACTAATATGAATGTATAGATATATTTTCTAAGAGCATCATTAATGAGGTCCTGAAATACAGCTGGAGCATTGCATAAGCTGAAGGGCATGACAAGATACTCGTAGTGTACATTTCTCGTGTTAAATGCTGTCTTCCACTCATGTCCCTCCTTAATTCTTACTAAATTATAAGCACTCCTAAGGTCGAGTTTGGTAAACACTTTAGCACCTTGGAGTCTGTCAAATAATTCGGAGATCAGAGGAATGGGATAAGCATTCTTAATGGTTATTTTGTTTAATGCCCCATTATCAATACACGGACGCAAATCTCCTTCTTAGTTTGAAAAAAAAGAACCCTGCTCTTGCCGCAGAAGATCTACGTATGTGGCCTTTCTCTAAGGACTCTTTTATGTAGTCCTCCATGATTTTACTTTCCTGCGGTGATAAGGTATATACCCCTCCCTTATGGGGAATAGTACCGGGTAACAAATTTATAGAGCAATCATAAAATTGGTGAGGAGGTAAAGTATCAGTATGAACCTTATTAAAAACTTATCATAGAAACATAGAATGTGACGGCAGATAAGAACCATTAAGCCCATCTAGTCTGCCCAATTTTCTAAATACTTTCATTAGTCCCTAGCCTTATCTTATAGTTAGGATAGCCTTATGCCTATCCCACGAATGCTTAAACTCCTTTACTGTTGTGACGAAATGCCTTTTGTCCCTGGATTGTTAGGTGACAAGCTGCCCTTTGCCCCCGGCTTTTGGAGGAGCCTGATTGCCAGCCTCCTTCCTCATGACTATGGCCCTGGGGTGTATTGCCATTTAAAAAGACTATTTGGGGCTTATTGGCTTCTAAAGACAGTTTCTTCCCATTGGAATCCATGGGAAGGTGTGTTTCTTCCCCTCCCCCGTTTTCCTGTCTATTGTTCTCCAGCAAGGCATTGTCCCAGGCACACTGCCAAACCAGTTGGAACTGACTGCTTTTGTCCCTCCTTGGTTTCTCAACAGCCCTTGCTATGCTTTACCCCATGGAAAATCTACTCTGTTCATGGGATCTGAGCGCTGTTCACCTAAATTGGGCGCTCAGATCCGAGCTATCTGGGGATAGGTTAAATGTGGGGGTTCTGTGTAATAAAATAAGAATTATGTATTTTTATGTACTTTTACGTATTTTGCTGTTAGTGTTAAATGTAGATATTTTCTGTACCTGGAGATAATTGAGTTTACTGCAGTGCCTTAAGCCAATTATCTCCAGGATGGAGAGGAGGGATTTCATTGTGTTTGTGAGAGTGTTATCATGTTAATTAGTGTTCCCATTGGTTTGTGTCCCTTTTGTCACAGTTTACCACCAGGTCCAGGGGTGTGCCTCTGACCTGAAAACTTGTATATAAGGAGTAATAAACGCTCATTGGAGTCAGATCATCTTGTACCTTCATGAAGTTTCGGCTCATGTTTGGGGGATTGGAGAAACTACACTCTGGGGATTGCTATAATCACTATACTCCCCAGGGTATAATCACTAAGCTCTGCTAAGAGCTTGTTCCTGTTCCTGCTCTCTGGAATTCGGAGAGAGGTCGACCTGCTGGAAGCTGGACCCTTGTCCTGGGTCCAGAGTGGGTGGAGACGGCGAGATCCCAACCAAGCTGCGGCGGTTCGTGGGGTCTGCAGTGGTTATGGTGTCAGGCAGAGTGCTTGGAGTCCTCGGAAAGCACTAGGAGCATCCGTCGGCAGAAGGTACCCGGTCGGGGTGCCAGCAGTTCCGTTACAACTGTGTTAACCTCTACCACTTCAGCTGGAAGGCTATTCCATGCATCTACTACCCTCTCAGTAAAGTAATACTTCCTGATATTATTTTTAAACCTTTGTCCCTCTAATTTAAGACTATGTCCTCTTGTTGTGGTAGTTTTTCTTCTTTTAAATATAGTCTCCTCCTTTACTGTGTTGATTCCCTTTATATATTTAAATGTTTCTATCATATCCCCCCTGTCTCGTCTTTCCTCCAAGCTATACATGTTAAGATCCTTTAACCTTTCCTGGTAAGTTTTATCCCGCAATCCATGAACCAGTTTAGTAGCCCTTCTCTGAACTCTCTCTAAGGTATCAATATCCTTCTGAAGATACGGTCTCCAGTACTGTGTACAATACTCCAAGTGAGGTCTCACCAGTGTTCTGTACAATGGCATGAGCACTGTAACGGACCGTTTTGCACACAAGGGGTGAAAACTGTTTAGGCGATCGTCCCCCTTTCCAGAGATGCAGGCACAGCTATTGTATAACACCAAACACACGAACCGCCAATAAGTGAATGCTCCAAACTCCCGAACGGCATCCAATATAGCACTCCAAACACACGAACAGGAACCATACGAATCGCTGCTAGCAGACGAATAGGAAAAGCATTCAAGCGGCTTACACTCCTAGCAATCAGTCTCTATCAGCATTC